ATATTTTCAAGCGCATCGAAAATTATTTGGATCAATACATCATTTTCAAAAAATTAGACAAGAACAACGAAATTTAGATGATCAATGTGTAGGTTTTATTGAGTTAATGGCTTTACAGCAAAATACTAATCTTCAGGCAAAAGAAGCAATTGAACAAATGATGGCATTCAAAAATGAAGTAAAAGAAATTAAAGAAGAACTGTTTAGTATGAATCGTAATATATGTAATTTACAAAAAACATTACATGTTTTACTTGAAAAAGGTACAATATAATATAGATATTTATTGGGAACGTCTAAAGATACTTATCTTTATCTTATATTTGAATAGCAAAATTACATAAACAATGTAGTAATAAAACTCGATTATTTATTTGCAAAATAGTTTCAAAATAATAATGTCAGTTATTTCTATTTAATAGATGATAACTATTAAATTTTTTTAATGTGTTATGAAGACAAAACGGATTTTTATTGATCGATCTATTTTTACATACTATGTAGCTCGTTCGTTTCTTAGAAAATAAAATATTAAATAAAAAATGCATATCTAACGAATGTCTGGTATAGCGATATAAAGTGCATCACCACTATAGAGAACAATTATTTCTTAAAAAATCCAATATAACTAAGATTAGAAAAGAATATATACGTAGTCACATGGAGAAGAAAAAGAAGATTTGGAGAGTGAACGTACTAATATACATGTGCCGACTCCACGTGTTCATTTCATACCGAAGAAAATAGATACTTGTTTTATATTCAATATTTTTTCGAATAATTTAGAAATAATTCAAGGAAAGAAATGAACGTTTTTGTAAGCTTATAAATCAATAATATGAATAACAAAATATTATTTTTTGCTATTGAATTATCATGTGAGAAATTGTCACAATAGTTTCTATGTGAAAAGAGGGACGCTCGATAAAAGTGTCTAATTAGAACGCGTACTTTCTAAAAGTCTATACTCGATTTGAGATATTCGGGTATTATATTGATTCAACATATATTCTCACGATTTCTACCTTTATTCATAACAACACTAAGTTCATTGGCTTGAAGATAGATAGTGAACTTAATATTAAAAATCTTGATGTCATTCTAATATCTTTATTTATATTTATTACAGAATGTATATAGTTATTGGAACATATCAGTTATATCTGTCAAGAAGAAAAACATTTCAAACAACACCGATTATATTTAACAGATTCATTCTACTTCATTCATAGCTATTATGTACAGTCAATGTAAAATCCACAAAAATATAATTATCAAGATATCTGGTTCAACTGATTAAAGATAATCGACCAAGTTTGTTTTACCCTCTTGTATGTGATTTATCTTATTTCATTAAGAAAACATACGAATATAATTAACAGCAAAAATCAAATTATGATCCATTTTGACGTTAATAGTCTTTTTATACTAAAGTTTCTGACTATGAAGCGATTGACACAAAATTAAAGATGGTGTTTTAAAAACAAGGGCTATCATCAATATCTTTTAATCATGACGAATTAATGAAGAAAATTTTTCAGATTACTGCTCTTGTGACAAACATATTCGTTTCATGTATCAAATGTATATACAGTGCGACGAAATAGCAATGGGATCACCTCTAGCGCCAGCATTAACAAACATCTTTATGGCTAATTTTGAAATTAAATAAAATAAAATTTCGACTAATAAATCGGCATTAGAGCGTTGCGTCGACGATGTCTTTTGGATTTTTACGAAAAATCAAAACATCGATGTCTTTATCAAAAGAATTAATAGTTGATATTCAAAAATAGAATCATATTATAGACTATGAAAACGATGATATATTAAATATTCTCAACTTATTAACGATACATGTCATAATATTGACATAATCAATACACCGATTGTACTACAGAAGACCAAATAATGCAAGCTTGACGTGCTGTATAATAGACATCAATGTCAAAAATAGAATTAGATTTACCTCGTACACTCTTCATTTGTATCTCATTATTTTATTCGATGGACAACCGTAAATATAAAGAAACTACCTATTTAGAAGCATACAATAGAGTTGAACGGATACTATTATCACCTAATATGATGAAGTATTTGTTAACATCCGATTAAACACATTCAATGGTAGCATGATTCTTATACTAAAAAATGATATTTTTTACATTTATTTGCCATGAATTACTATCGGAAACATTGGTATACAGATGGTACGTATTTATCACAAATCTTTATTAAGTATGAACATCAACATAGCGTTTTAAAAAACTTATACTTGAAGAAATGTATTCTTGTCTATTCGGGAAGAAATTGATAAAACTAAATGAGTCATTAGAAAGTTATCAAAAAAAGTCGATCTTAGTTAAACATATCATTAAACAAATTCACTCATTTAATCTCCGGAAACGTCTAGATTCGTCGTAAATTAATTAAAGAAAGCTTATCTACTCGTTAAACATTAGAAAAAATAGTTTGATGAACAACAACAATGAATTAAAATCATCTATCAATCATTACTGTTCTTTTATTATTGATTCGTAACATCAAGACAGTTTTTTTTTCTTTTTTTTTGTATTGTTACTTTCGCCAGTGGCAGACGTATTCTGTGAAAAACTTGAATAAATTGTGTTTATGTTGAAAATGTACTTATTCTCATAGCAGTCTTATTTCCTATATAACCTTAGTATTATTATAGATATATATATATTTCGAAGGTCGCTGTGAAGTGACCACATTCACTTTTAAATCGAAAGAGACCGAAAAGTTGAATCCAGAAACGTAATATCTATTAACATTTGATCTATTTACGAAGCTTTATACTTATAACTGATCATACATGATAAATGTTTGAAAATGAAACATAAAGACACGGAATATTTTGATTATTAAAAATTAAAATAGTTGTTAACGTTTCGATCTTTTAGAAGTTCATTATTAGGATTTACATTTGTTTAAAATGAACTACATTTCATCGAATTTGTTAATATTCCTACAGTAAGAAAATAGTGTGACAGTTTACATGAAGAAATAAAAAGAGCGAGAGACAGATGGAATGATTAGTAATATAATAGCAATAGCGTATCTACATAAAATATAGAAGAGAGATAAAAAAGACATAGTTTTCACGTGTTTGATATATATATATATATATATATATATATTATATTTGATTCTTTTACTCCTTATTTCTAGTTCTGGTTGGACATTGTTTATGTATTCCATTTGGGTAGATGTATAACTGAACTGAATGTGTTGTCCTATTTAGTCCCAGTTCAAAAGTTTTAATTACTAAGGATTCTTTAATTAATAGTTGATGTGGATCATTTTCATTTAATACCATTTTTGTGTTTATCCAATCAATTGTATGATATTTCTCTTGCAGATGTATTGTAATTGCTGATACGTTACTATTTTTATTATTGAGGGTGTGGTTGTGAGTGCTGGTTTATGTTTGCTGATAATACATTTTATTTTCCGCATCCTATTATCTTAATCTTTTCTTCGTGCTTTTGCTGTTGTAGATACTTTTCTAATCCTCTTGCTATATGTTGTTCGATAAATGTTAATAAATATGAATTAGCCATTGTCATTTTTCGTATGTATTCAAATTTATATGCTAATACTTTGTGAATGGAACATTTTCTAAGTGATCGCCGTATCATATTTACTATACTTATTTTTTGCATTGTATTGTGACAAATGTTAAATAATTGATCACAACCTCATATAGGTATCTCTACGGTAAATAGTTGCTCCAAAATTTTAACATGTTTTGTGAATGATTAACTTTAACTCCAAGGAATGATAATGAGTTATTTTTTTCAACTTCATCTGTGAATTTAATTGATTCAATTAAAATAAACGTGTCATCAACGTATCTGTGCCATTATAGAATCCTTCTTATTTTAGTTGGTCTATTAATGAAATTTCTATGTGATTCATGAATATGTCAGCGAGAACGGGTGCAATACATGCACTCATTGCAACACTATTATACTGAACATACATTCTATTGTTGAAGAAAAAATTGACTTCTGATGTTGCCGTGTTCAATAAGGTATGAAAATCTTCACGTTGCTGACATGACTTGGCGTATTGGATGGTTTTGTTTATGTATTTCTGGAAGTCTATAATTCTTTATCTGCCTTGATTCTGTTGGTCTGGCAGTATCGTATTCTCGTTCAATAACAAGTTTCTTCTTTTTCAATTTCAATTATAAGTTCATTAATTTATTTTCGTTATCGTATGTAGGATCGTTATCAATCATTCTGAATGATGATGTATCATTAAATATCATTTCCATTGTTTTTGAATGTATAGTACACGATTCATAATTACAACTCCTCTTCCTTTATCCAGTCTTATGATCAGAATTGATGAATCTTTTGCTAGCTGTTTAAGTGTATGTATTTATTATTGATCTATGTTGTGTTCCGAAATTTTTAAATTCCCGTTTTGATTTATTGTTAACTTTACTTGATATTGATCTAATTTCATCAGCTATATCCAGTTGTGTTGACGTATGTTTTTGTTCATAACATCGATATTTAGTTTGTATAAGTCATTAAACGTGCATAAAGATATTCTATATTACACACGAAATTTGATTCGTCCATCATTTCTAAGGGATAGATATAGTATAATCCATTTTCAAGTGCATTTACTTCTTCTGGAGATAATTGTTAACTTGAAAGATTCTTTTCAAAGTTTTCTTCGTCAAATGCTGCTATTACAACTAGTTTTTATCGTTATTATTATTAGTAATATTTTATTATTATTGTTAACTGGGTGTGGTTATGGGTGAAGATAAGATCCACACTCACAGCCCTTCAGATTCAAGCTTTCTTTCTTATTTACAGATTCCTTATTTATGATTATAAAAAGACATTTTTTATTCAATTATATTTTCAAGTAGAACCTTTCTATGATTAAGTTTTGCTTTTATTTAACAATAATAAAATTTATTTTTTCTTATTTAACAAAATACACTATAAACACATTTATGTACGATTTTGCCATTTTTGAACAATACGTGCAGCTTGTTCCTCGCTCACTTCTTGATTTGCTAGCAAATCATAATTCATTTCATCTGTTTTGACATCTGTACTAATGGCAGAATAAGCTAGAGGCTGCATCTGTTGATAAGAAGCTCCAGGAAGTGGCGGCTGAGCATATGGCGGAGGCTGCATCCGTTGATAGGAGGCTCCAGTAAGTGGATGCTGAACAAATGGCGGAGGAGGTGCCTGTTGGATATACGACAAAGGGACTGGCGGTCTAATAAAGGAAGGAGCAACTGCCTGTTGGTAATACATGGAAGGCGGTGGTTGCTGCGCTTGAAATTGTTGCTGCATTTGAAACATATTAGTGCATTTAGAATATGATTCCTTAGCTAATGTTGAATGAGCTCCAGCAACATTAGCCATTTGTTGCACATACATATTTTTAGAAGCAAATAAATGAGCTATTCTCTTAGCTTTTTCTTTTTCATCAACACCTTCAGCTTCGGCTTTTTTCATTTCACGATCAATATCTTCTTGAGCATTTTGCATCAAATGATCTAATGATATTTCTTCACGTACTCCACCTATGATTACTTTCGCTAATAATTTAGCATTGATCATTGGTACATATTGTCCACCAGTTATATATGCCAATGACATGAAAAAATCACGATAAGGCACTAGATAAAAAATAGAAAAAAAGAGTTATTTAAAAATCATATATAACAAAAATATTGATAGATATATTACTAATAGGTGGTTCAACACCAACGGTGTAGAGTGTTATATGTTTTTGAGCCATATCACGAACAATCTGAAGAGGATCAAGACCAGCAGGACATCCGTTTGGAAAACCATCACCAACTGGATCAAGTCCATGTGGTGGTGCATCAGATATAAGAATAGCAATTTTAGTAGATTGAATACGCCATGATAATTTGAGAACATCATGAAGAGCATCAGCAACTGCTTCAGGTCCATCACCGCCACCATGTGCTTGACACTGTTCTAACCATCTTTTCATTTCATTTACTTTACTTGTAAAATCATGTACGCGTGTAACAAAAGTGGCTTCCTAAAAAAAATTCAGTGTTTTTGTTTATGAAGCTATTTTTTGTTGTTGTTTTATTAAACTAACTTGAGGTGGATGATCTCGATATTCGACAAGAGCCAAACGAACATCACTCTTTTCACTTACGACAATTTCTTCAACAATTGCACGAATATTATCTCTAGCACTCTGAATATATGATGCCATAGAACCAGTACAATCCATTGCAAATACAAGATCTAAATACGAATATGTTTATAAAGTTATTTACATGAAAATATGATTTTCTTCAAAAATAAATTTACCGAGAATAGACGCATCATGTTTAGCTAACTCAGGTCGATCAGGTTTTGTAATGTGAAGAGATGAAGTCATAATTGAATATTGTACTTGACGAGCTTTGAGTGAATAAAAATAAGAAATGAATAAAATAAGAGTTATAATACTGCTTTTATATACTACTCTTTCTGTCAATAAGTTGTGCAATTTTAGTTCGTGGTGCACGGAACAAGAGAACGTGGCAAATGAGTCATTATCAATCCTTACTTGTAATATATAAAAGGAAAAAATCCATCTATGTGTGTATAAACGATAGAACATACTTGAATGACACAAGATAAAAAAAACTGACTTCGTTTACATTCTAAGAAACTACAAACTTGTAGAAGAGATGATGAAAATATTAAAACTTTGATTTAATAAAAAATAATTTGTTAAAATTTTCCCAACTCATTTTTTTGTAATTTGAGAGAATAAATCAATAATAAATTTTATTTAACGCAATAACAGAGAAACAATACAGTGAACTAATTTTCTATATACTTTTATGATATACTAGTTTGTCTGTTATATTTTTTTAAGTATTATTATTTGAAATAAAAGTTCATATTTAAGTATTTTCTTCTCAAGTACTTCCACTAGAATATTTATTATTTGATAAAATTTAATTTTTTATTAAACATGATTTTCAGCTACATTGGAGTATTATCAAAATCTTTTAAACAGATCATATTTGAGATGTCATCATTAATTATATACTGAATGAATGACTTAATATAAAGAAGTCTATGCTGTAAATATAAAAATAATTAGTTTAGACATACATATATTTCATACCGAAAAAAACCAGGAATTATTTTCTAGATATAGATTTTCTGCTGGAAAAAGAAAAAGATAAATAGAAAACACTTTTACTTATCCGTATTAAATAAAATAATTGAAAATTCATATATTGTATTTTTCATCTATCTATTAACAATGAATACGACATTAAAGAGTGTTAGTAGTGCTCTTTTAGATGCACCTTATCAATTAAATATATGGTTTGATTCATTTCTTTGGATATTAGGCAATTTTGGTAATATTGGAAATGTAATTATATATAGTCATCGATCATATCGTCAACGAGCTTATGGAATTTATTTATTAGGTGAAGCAATATCAGATTTTATTTATATTGATTTTCTATTACTTACAAGAATACTTCAAAATGGTTTTCAAATATCAATAACTGGACATTATAATTTTATTTGTAAAATTCGACAATTTGATTCTGTATGGAATCCTTTAGTTTCACTTACTTTATTTGCATTTGCAATTATTGATAGAATATTATCTGTACAACGTTCAAATAGTAAGTCAATATTATTATAAGAATATTTATAGATTCTCTTTTATCCTTATAATATTAGAAAAAATTGAAAAATAAATCATTAACTTGATCCATCGACTTTTCAAAAGTTTTAAAAGAATTTTTATTTGCGAAGAATAAAGTGTAGTTATAAAAATAAATACGAGAACATCTTTATTATTATTTATTTTAATCAAGTTACTATTCATAGAGTTCAAATCAGTCTCAATTATAAAATAAAATTGAATCAATAAACATTGAAGATGGAGAATCTCATAGAATATCAGTATTGAAACGATTTCTCGTAATAGATAATATATTTTTTCTTTTTATTTAAGAATACCGCCAGTGGAGCAATCGTGTAAAATTATCTTACAAAATATGTATTGCAATTCCATTATTTTGGTTAGTATTTTTTGCTCATCGACTTATTTTATATAAAATTAGAAATGGAAGCTGTAATCCTCTACCAGGTTTTTATGCATCATTTGATAGCTATGTTGAAGCTGGTTTTACAGCATTAGGTGTACCATTAGCAATGGCAATATTGGCATTTTTCTTATTACGAAATATTAGAAATGTTACTCATGGAAAAGTTCTTCCTATTAATAATAATCAACCGGTAGCAACTACAACACGATCAAATCTTCAACAGATTGATTCCCAAGTTGCATTCATGCTTCTATTACAAATAGCTATTTCTATATTAACACGTATACCATATGTTGCTCAAGTTCTCTATTCAAATATAACTCAATATTGGTCAAAATCAGAATTACATATAGCTATAGAAAATACTGTTATTGAATTTATTCGTATATTATCATATGTATTTTTTACTACTAGTTTTTATGTATCAATTATTACAAATAGAAGATTTCGTCGACAAGTTAAAGGTTTATTTAAAAAAAAACAAGTTATTGATCATACAACTCAATAGATATTATTTTGAAAAGAGAATTATATATCGAAATGCTGATTTTATTATAGTATGGTTCTCTTTTCTCTCTATGATTACGACATAAATAACATAGTATATATTTCTAATCCTTGTGAAATTGCGTGTCGTGAACACTTTTTTTTCAAAATAAAATCAGTTCTGAAAAAGATTAAGTTAAATTTAATGTGAATTATATTATTGATTCAACCTGATCGAGATGTATCTGACCCACATCATTTCATAGTTGCGAAGAGTGATGGATCGAATTTTTCTAGAGAAAACTCGAATCGGTCGCTAACGCCCCTTGTGTATTATTTATTCGAATGATAGAACTTTATTTAACATAATACTATTCAATAAAATAATATTTCCACTTTAGCAGACAACGTTGAAATTCATCTCGAATACTCAAGCATTATATGTATTCGCTCTTCTCAATTTATACAATCAAACAGTTTGATCGATTTTTAAAAAATAGTTTTTTATTGTAGAATATGCTATGAGGATAAGCGCATTTTGTTCTTTATTTACATCAGATATCATTATTGATACTACTAGCGTATAGGTTTTTCTATAAAAATCCCATACGCAAGATGTTTCTCGAGTGATTTTTTCATGAGCATAATAATAGAACTAAAGAATCAAATCATAGAAGAATTTGTTTATCAGGAACTAATCCAATAAATATCAATCTCGATCGAATAAAAGAAATATTCATAAGTTTTAAGCTGGCGCGAGATAAATTGATGAAGTCGAATGTATATTTAAGATAATAAATAAACTATTTCTATACTTTTTCAGGTACATTAAATACTTACCGATGGAATACAACAGGTATTACTATACTGAATTCATTGCAAGTAGGATTTGTGGATGAGATATTTTTCGATTCAAGTGGTACAATGTATGTGGTGGATGAAACTAATAATGTTGTATGGAAATTATTGAAAAATACAACAACTCCGATCATTGTAGCTGGACAATTAGCATCAGCTGGTTCTAGTGCCAGTCTGTTGAATACTCCTTTGGATGTTTATATTGATTCAAATAACAACATGTATGTAAGCAATTGTTCCAATCATCGAATACAAAAATTTGTAAATGGATCAACTATTGGACAAACGTTTGCTGGAATAAATGCATCAGCTGGCACAGCATTAAATCAATTGTATTACCCTCGAAATTTCTGGGTTGACCCAACACAAACATATATGTATATTGCAAACAGTAATAATCATCGAGTTATGCGTTATCCAATGAATTCAACAACAGGTACTAACGGACAGGTTGTTACTGGAGGTGCTGGAGCTGGAAATACGAATACACAATTGAATCTACCTTGGGGAATTTATTCTCTACCAACAATAAGTAATTATTTATATATAGTCAATTATTATGGTCACTCAGTGATGCGATGGATACCGGGTGCTTCGTCTGGTGAGTTTATTGCTGGTACGCCAGGTGTATCAGGATCCACTGCTACAACTTTAAACAATCCCATAGCTATTAAACTTGATGCTTTTCTCAATATGTTTGTTGTTGAGTATTCGAACCATCGAGTTCAAATGTTTTGTCAAAATAGTCAAACTGCTGTAACAGTTGCTGGTACGGGCACTAGCGGTAGTAGTGCTACACAGCTTTACGCACTAAGAGGTGTCGCATTCGATTCATCGATGAACATGTATGTTAGTGATGCAGGAAACCATCGTGTTCAGAAATACTTTAAACTCTAAAGTGCATCGATAATGCTACTTTACATGACATTTATTTTTTGTTTTTTATTCACATATTATATATTTTCTTTAATCTTGAAAGTTTTATTTACTATTAATTCAATATTTTTAAAGTATAATCAAGTTATTGTTTATTTTATTCTCATTCATATCTTTATTGCTTTTCTGTCTTGTGATCTTTTATGATGAAATAATAAAGCTTAGAAAATACAAAAAATGATTCAGTTTTCATTTGAATTTTGATTTATTTTAACTAACCTATTGAAAAGAACTGAAATAATTCTTTTTTTTTGTGAACGATGATCTAAAAGGAGGGATGAGGTGTGTAGGTGTAGAATGTTGCACTCATCCACAAGACCTTTTACATAGGTTGTGACCGAGATTGTTATGAGAGAGTGGATATGATTAAGAAGATCCAATCACCTCTCACTAGGAAAACTGCGAAGCGGAGTTTTTTTTAATTCCAATTCTAACTTCGACTCCGACAAACTCTGAAAGCTTTTTTTGTAGTGTAGCGAAGATATGGGTATGAATAGGTATCGGCATTATATCTATCACATACTCATACCCACATCCACCCTCAAGATGATTCAATTAATTATGTTGTGATAAGACGTTTAGTTTGTTAAGTTCAGTTTTAATGTTGTTCATTATAACTGTAGAATTGTGTTTTGTACGTGAATCTAGTTTATCTCAATAAAGAAAGAAAGAAAGAAGACGACATATGTATACGTGTTGGATATAATCAAATGACACGAAGAAGAATCGATAGGAAAACACCCAACATCACACTTATTATTTTGTTTATTTTATTCATTTTCTCCTTTTGAACGAAGAGCTCTTACTGCTATTATTCGACCTCTTGTTACAGAAGCTACAGGTCGACAAAGTATTTTTGTTTGAATAAACTGAATAAATTCTTGTCGAAATATCTGTGATGATATCGCAAAATTAGCAAATGTCAATGAAAATCCAAGATAAATCGGAACATATGTCATATTGCCGACAAATGATTCAACTGTACGACGAAGTGGTGATTTCACTGCATATATCGTGCTTGATCGATAAATAAGATAACATGGATTCGGTAAATTGAGAATGACAAAAAGGCAAATTTGATTTGCTAACATCCTATGAAATTGAACATCTTTCTTTGACATTTTGCCAAAGCGAATAGATCGAGTTCTATCAGGTTGTAGATCTGGATTAATTCGTCTTCTAGTTTGATGAACATTGTTAAGGGTTAATAAGCCAAAGACAAGCATAAGACATGTAGGAAGAATACCACTATCAATCGATATATAAATACTAAAAAACATTCCATAAGCTCCTGATTGATAGTAACAGGTACCAGTGTTAATATCATAAAAAATAATTACTTGAATATACAAAATACACCAGAAGAAGATATTTCCGATGATAAGACGAAAAGCAATCTTTGATGAACTCCACTGACGACGAAGAGCATCACGAGAACTAGCGAAGTAACGATCAATCGACGCAAAAATAATATTATAACGAGGAATGGCTATAAATAGATAAAATAAATAAGAACGAATTTTACAATACCAAAGAGAAGTATTAAGAGTTTGAATATTGTATCCATAGTGAATCATACGAGTGAGAAGAGAAAAATTAAAAGTGAAAAATTGTGAAAAACTTGAAGCAAGGAAATACATAGCACAAGGATTTTTGTGAAATGTTGGTTGATAAAAGACAATACAAGTTAACACCGATCCAATGTTGCCCATAATCATAATAAGACCAAGACCAAATTGTGAAATAGTTTTATTTAAAAGATCGATGATTGAAATCAAATAAGCCTGATTATCATAGATGTTGATGGTTGTATCATTCATTATTATGTTAGAGATTTATTTACTAAATCTACAAAAAAGAAAAGATACTAATTTCAATATGTGTACTATCCGATCTGTCTTACAAGTTATGCTGATGATTTCTCTTTACATTCAAAATAAACTATTATAATAAAGATTGAGTTACTGTAACTACCATTATTTATCTTAAAATAAAACAACTGTTTGATACCTATACCGAGATCCTAACGTGTAAACATCATATAGATGTCTAGTATGTTAGAAAAGTAAGTGAGAAAAAAATCTTTGACTGTGATCTATTCAATTTTTGTTGATAACATCTCATATTTAATTATATTTCAGTGAGGCTTATTTAATGAGAGAAACAACTAGATCTCGATGAAGATAGATGATTCTCTATGAAAAACATGGTTATTATGAAATTCGGAATGACTTATATAGGTTACAAGGACAGAGATCATTGCCAAGAGAGTGAGTAATTACATATGTTAAGAGAACACAGAATGAACCAGAATCAGTTAACGAGATAGATTCAAGAGAGGAAACAAAAAAAACGATACACATATAAATATACGAAGAACGAAAGAAATACCGTAGATAAGATATAGAAGAACAGAGAAAGTATTATACTACCTAAGAGTTCCTATAATTGCTGTTTAAATATGTAAAATATTCGATTTCTAATTTGATGAATAATTTTGTTTATTTTCATCTTTGTATCATTTCAAGATTGAATACAACAATGAATTCATAGAAATTATTTTTCAATCAATACCGTTTATTATAACTCGGAATAAACAAGTAACGCTCGTTTGTAAATTCGCTTAGCTCTTTCTTGTAGAAATGCCATTTCTTTACTATCAATAATCAATTAAAAAACTCTATTTCTATTGGTTCTCATCACTCACACCCTCAAATGGTGGTAGATTTCAGCATTCCACATCATTTTGTTGTCCTATTATTTTTAGACTACTTAGTAAACGCGGTCATGCAAACAGACAATTTATGTTCACAGATTCTTGTCTGCAAGAAAGAGAATATGAAAATATCGTGTAATTATAATAATTCATTTGTTTGTTGTTTTTTTTCTAAGTATTGAGTTTTGTATAAGAAGTTTGATGTAGTATAGAAGTTATTATAAAAAATCTCATGATATTATTGAGGGTGTGGATGTAGGTGTGGGTAATACCCACACTCACACCCACGCCCTAAAGATGGATATGATTAACACCATAACACATATTTTAATCAACGAAAAATACACATGGTCACTTATTGTTTGCAATACTTATCTTTCTTAGCCACACCACTATCGTGATCTATTGGTTTTTATACATAGTTTTTAGTGTTTACTTGACAAGCAAATCTCTAAGTGAGAAACGAAAGTGTACTTTAATATTCATTTCTCTTTGGCTTTTGCAGTTAGTATTTCACGGTTAAACATATATATGCCTGTTTTATTTTTCGAGATTATAGTTGATTACACGACAAAGATACATATAAAGTGCTGGATTATGAAAAAAAGATGCGTACAGCTTTAACATTCCCTACATTTGTTGCTACGACACACACCACCGTTCAGACACTTGTTCCCTTCGGTGAAACAGAACCATCCACATGTGCTAAATATACCAAGGAAACGTTTGTGTCGCACTCGTTGCTCATTTGTATCACTGATAGCCAGATTATCTTTGTTTCTATTCTTCATGTTTTTCTCCAAAAATGATGATGCTGATTCTTGGACTTGATTCACCTTCACCGAATTGTCGATTGCTAAAGTAATAGCCACGATAGCCATAAGGACAAGTAATGCAAGGAACGTTTTTTGGTGCATCTTATTGAAAAGTTGATCTTGTGCTTTCTGATGATGTTGTCAGTTACTGTTTGTAAAAAACATATCGGTACTGTACTTTATATACCAGTGGCGTATTCAGGATATTTTTCTCCTAGGTTCGCCGCGATAGTAGTTAGGAAATTACCCAT